CCGAGGGGGAGGCAGCACGCAAACGTTTCTAAGGAGCAACCTTCGGCTGCTCACCCCAGTTTTGCCCAACTGGGCTAAATACTTTAGTTCCTGAGGTTAGAACGTAAATATGGGGACCAGTTTGGGACTCCTAGTGATGTCGACTTCAGATTTAGTGAGCGTTAGCGTCACTGTGGGGACCCGTGACGCTGACTCATCGCGCACCACTGCTGTTGACCGCGTGCCTTTGGGACCAGGCGCAAGGAAGCGCGCCTTGCCTTCCCATCGTGACCTTCATCCGTCCAATAAGATCCCCGCGTTAGTAGACCGGCCTCAACCTGTCTGGACAGACCTCAAAGCGGTGGCTGCCGCTAGACATCACTCCGGACATAGCCCGCCTCGCGGCTAGACGTGCACTCCGGAAGTCAAGACTTCGTCCTACCTATTCTCCAATTCATTCTGTAAAGAATACATTCTTCCCATTACTCTGGCCTTCCAAAGACTCTTCTCTCCTCTCCTCTCCTAAGGAACCGGGCCTGGAAGATTGCAGCCGTTTGGGGTGAACCTCATTAGACTTAAAATCCTACGATACTGATTATTTTTAATGCCACTTGACAAAGTCCAATGCAATGAAGGTAAGCTCTTGCTTAGTAAATCAAAAAAGCGTTGGACTTTATCTTATGACTGCGCACAACTTCAGCATATAAGAGGTACTAGTTATCACATACCGCGCACAGGTCCATACAAGAGAAGACTATGTAGTGAACCATTACGTAGATTTCCAGTACTCCTTTTAGGTGTGTTGTGTCTTTTGTCAACACGACGTCGGTTATCATAATTAGAAAGGCCAGGTAGACAAGCTGAAATAAAAAAAAAACCCTGCTCGATTTATACGCAACGAATAGCTGGAAAAGGGGCTTATTTTTCAGAAATATTGCACAGATCAGACCAAAAGTGTGTGTTTAGATTCACTTTTGTGAGATACATGACGGAGCTCACTGTGTAGATTTCACATTATCACTGGTTTTCCCGTAGGGTTCCTTTAGTTTCTCCCTACTAAGATGGTGGCCTTCTTATTTCTACAGTCGATTAGCCGCATTCTATATGTGTTGAAATGGACGAGGGAAGAGAGGGAGAGTGCGATGGATGCTGCGGAGAGTCTACTATCACTTAAACTTTAACCACGCGTAGGCCACTGCACCAAGCGGGTCGGAGTACACGTTGGGCATCATCGAAATGGGTGGTCGAACTGTCGCGTACATAACTGGCAGTCATTGGGGCAACAGTAGCTTATGTAGCCCCACTCATTAATCCCTACTTCTTGCATGTTTTCCTACGAAAATGGTGGTTATAGGGTTTTATGGGTGGGGAATTAGGACACGCAGTGAAACATACTTTAATAAATGTTAAATGCATTTTTACTGTATTTGGAAGTATTGCTGATTTATATCTGTAGATTTTCCTATTTTGTATTATCGTTTAACTTATTGCGGAAAAACCCGATAACCAAATTACAGGTTTTTTGAATTTCCCGAAAATTTCAAACGGTGGTTAGGAGGTCGTCTACTTCAACTTACCTGTGGTCCAACTTGCCGTTCTGAAGTTAGATAAGTATAGTCCGCGGCGCGAAGCACCGCGCACACCTTCAATTTACATGTGGAACAACCCACTCCCAGCGGCCTCAGGGAGCAACTTCGGCTATATTTTTTCACTGAACACTTACTTCTAAAAATTTCCTTCTCTGCCTATCCTATTTCACCAACCCCCCTAAACCCTATAACCGCCATTTTTGCAGGACAAAATGCTGAGACTAGGGGTATCTGATTGGGCCTACATAAGCTACGTTTGCCGTCATTGGCTGCTCACAAACCAATCAGGGCGCTCGATCGACACAAAGTTTCATTAAGTGACTTGCAACGGCTACAGCACTCGTGAGAAACTGCCTGTATCTGCGGGTCTGCGTCATCCGTACAGAAACAGCGTGCTCGCCAAAACCGCCCCAATATAACCCGAGTGTTCACCCAATCACCTCCGTTGAGGATGAGAAAGTTTGCAAGTGCGTATTCCCATCTTTTAAGCTTAGCGCAAATGTAAGATGCATGTCTTACCACTCAGATATTCACAAAGCAAAAGGAAATACCATGCTGTCATGCGTAAACACTTCTACAGCACGCTGTGCCCTTACTGCGACAGGAGACGCTCTGCGAATTCCAAGCTAGAGCTAGATGTTGTATTAAGTTTATAGTTAGCCCGAAAACGGCAAATTGCACTACCTCGCGGTATAAGGGCATGGCAGGACTTGAGCTAATCATGAAGGAGGACGCTACCCTGAGGTTCTGCGTTGTCCATCTGCAGTAAGCCTATAGACGGCAAGCGGCACTGCGTTGCGACATGAAAGCATAGTAGAGCTTGAGCTATTATTTGGCAACGTTCTTTAACGCATACGCCTATTATTTTCCCCCTACAGTTCGAGAAGACATACTGGATGCGACTTCCTACAAGCACATTCAGGCCGTATACTATTCACTAGTCTTAGTAAGTATGATTACTACAATTAATCCTCCTAGCATAGGCACATAACGTCTAGCAACAGTATTCTAGCTCTGCCAATAGAAGTAAATATGCGAGTTCCAGGAAGCAGTTCAGAAGAAGGAAATGCGACCACTCGATCGAGAGTTTTATTGTCCAGACGTTTCGGATTCCGTCGGGAATCCATGATCATAGGTAATGGTACAATAGTCTGAGTCTGAGTCTAATTATAGTACGCACGCGGATGACCGCTACGAACTATAAATACCATGCAATCTGTGCATGTTTCACACCCTATGTGCGCATCACTCAGACTACTTCCGTACCTTTCACAAAGTCCTACCAACTAAACAGAGTATTTCCACTCCTTACTGCAGTTAGACAAAAGAAAAACACTAAAAACATGGATGCTCTTGTGGACTTGCAAATTCTAGCATGTGCTTCGCCCTCGCCGAGTTGTAGAGGCGTTTCATCTTTTCCCACAAATTCGCCTTCTCGATGCTGCATTCCTTGTCGTCCATCGGGCCCTCCTCCCAGGACTGCAGGGGCTTAATAGCCAATAGGAGGGGACAAATCAGTGTCACCAGGAAGACCGGCAGGGAAGATTTTATGCCATTGTGCCAATCCATGGAGGCCGTTGTTTGAACGGGTGGAGTTACGCTGAAATTCACGCGAGTGGTGCTGCGACAAATCCAAAGGAGATTTGTGCCAAGGAGGAAGTCGTGAGGGACGTTGACCAGGTCTAGGGCGATCGTCTGCGGATGCCAAAATAAGGTTTTAAAGAGCAATTTAAGCACGAGCAGTGTAACATCACTCGAGAAAGGTGAGACAATCCATTATATTCCGATTGCAGTCAAACGTGATTGCAAAGCTCGAATTCACTGCGGCCTATGCATGTGTCCACCATGGGGTCAAATAGAGCACTTGCATTAAATATACTGACCAATCTTGATAGACTGGGGGTTGGATTGCTAAGTTTCATTAGGCCAGTGAGTCGACCTACCACTAGTCTACCCTAATCTCTGCCATCGGCCGGACATAAAAATGGTCGATAAGGAGTCAGACGAAAAGATAGATCAGTGCATAGTTATACAGAGTTTTCAAGTTTTTGTTGTCTTTTACCGCAAGGACGTGCTGCAGGACTTATGTGGGTGGTCAGATTAATTGAAGAATTCTAATAAATATAAGTAGTCATTCTTCTATCCCATTCACGGTGGGTCACTCTTTTGGCCTGTATCTTTGAAGCCGCAGCTATTCTTTCGCTATAACGTTTTCTTTAAATTACTTTTACTATGCCGAATATGTAAACACGACTCCAGGGTTGGTATTTCCATAGTCTATTTTCCCAAAAGAATATTTGAGATTTGCGAAAATCCCCACTGAAAATTTTAGAAGATGAATTGTCGAACATACGTTTGTTTTCGATAAATTCTCGTCCTTGGACGACGTCTGTTGGCTCCGGCAGAAGCGGCCACCACGAGGCTACGCCGACCGGTTCTGGGCGCCAAAAAGAACTTCG